TGCCATGAAAACATTCATCAACTATAATCATCATCATCAAAATACACTTTTCCATGATATGAAGAACCATAAAACACTAATAATTGATAACACTGTAACATTAATGCAAATAGCTGTCCATTTATTTGCGTGTGCATCAAATTAAATCTACAAACAGGGATTTTCATATGCAGAGAATGTGTTTAATGCAGGCACTACATCTGCTTTAATACTGTGATTCTGTGTAAATGCTAGTGCAGATGCTGCTGATTGTACATGACTCCACTGCTGAAATGATGTTCATACGGCAGGCTGTATGATATGTGATATTTGACATATGAATATCTGCATCAGAACGTCTGTCTGCTCAAATGTCAGCACTGTTCATCAGAGCCATTCACACACCAGAAGATCTTCAAGAGCGCACACTGATGCTGGGAACCAATAACATGGCAATCATTCATTTCCTTTAGCTTAGTCCCTTATTTTATCAGGGGTCGCCACAACGGAATGAACCGCCAACTATTCCAGCATGTTTTACGCAACGGATGCCCTTCCAGCTGCAACCCAGTACTCGGAAGCACCCATACTCACTCATTCACACTCACACACTATATCCAATTTTTCATTCATTCATTTACTTTGTCCCTTTGTTAACCAGGTGTCTTCACAATGGAATGAACCGACAACTATTCCAGCATTCCATTATGCAACAGATGCCTATCCAGCTGCAACCCAGTATTGGGAAACACTCATACACAAACACTATGGTCAGTTTTTCATCTTTTCATTTACTTTTCAGCTTAGCCCCTTTATTAATCAGGTGTCGCCACCGCGGAATGAACCACCAACTATTCCAGCATATGTTTGACACAGCGGATGCCCTTCCAGCTGCAACCCAGTACTGGGAAACGCTCATAAACACTCATTCACACACACACTACGGCCAATTTTTCATTCATTCATTTTTTTTTCAGCTTAGGCTTTTTATTAAGCAGGTGTTGCCACAGTGGAATGAACCGCCAACTATGCCAGCATGTTTTACACAACAGATGCCCTTCCAGCTGCAACCCAGTATTGGAGAAAAACACCCATACACACACACTCATACACTGCGGACAGTTTTTCATTTATTCATTTACTTTTCATCTTAGTTCCTTTATTAATCAGGTGTCACCACCGCAAAATGAACCACCTACTATTCCAGCATATGTTTTACACAGCGGGTGCCCTTCCAGCTGCAAACCAGTAATTGGGAAACACCCATACTCACTCATTCACACTCACACACTATATCCAATTTTTCATTCATTCATTTTCTTTTTGGCTTAGTCTTTTCATTTATCAGGTGTCGCCACAGTGTAATGAACCGCCAACTTATCCAGCAAGTTTTTACACAGCGGATGCCCTTCCAGCTGCAACCCAGTAATTGGGAAACACCCACGGCCAATTTTTCATTCATTCATTTTCTTTTTGGCTTCGTCTTTTCATTAATCAGGTGTCGCCACAGTGGAATGAACTTCCAACTATTTCAGCATATGTTTTACACAGCGGATGCCTTTCCAGCTGCAACCTGGTATTGGGAAACACCCATGCACACACTCATACACTACGGACAATTTTTTATTCATTCATCTTCTTTTCGGCTTAGTCTTTTTATTTATCAGGTGTCGCCACAGTGTAATGAACCTATAACTATTTCAGCAGGTTTTATGCAACGGATGCCTATCCAGCTGCAACCCAGCATTGGGAAACACCCATACACACATGCACTACGGACAGTTTTTCATCTATTAATTTTCATCTTAGTCCCTTATTAATCAGGGGTCGCCACCGCGGAATGAACCACCAACTATTCCAGCATATGTTTTACACAGCCAATGCGCTTGCAGCTGCAACCCAGTACTGGGAAACACACACTCATACACAATGGCCAATTTAGTTCCTCTTATTGCTGCATGTGTTTGGATTATGGGGGAAACCGGAGCACTCGGAGGAAACAGATGCCAACACAGGGAGAACATGCAAACTCCACCACTGATCCAGCCGGGACTCAAACCAGCAACCTTATTGCTGTGAGGCCACAGGGCTAATCACTGAGCCACCACGCCACCTACTTTGTGCCAAATAAAGAGTGAAAACAAAATCTAAATTAGCTGAGAACAGCTGAGATATTCATACACAATTATTGATAAATGATTGAATCAATTTAGAGCATCTCTAATTATCAGGATCCTGCAGGCGCAACATGACCGACAGTGTTTCATGAGCAGTTTCATGTGAGTCCATATAATATTCCACATCAAACAAGACAGCGGCTTCATATCCTGATTCGTATATTAATATGGAGTCCGCAAACATAATAAAGCGCTGCTGAATTCAGCGGAGAGCGGCTGAGTTTCACCTCAGTGCCACACACAGAGATCAGACTCATATGAAGATCCAGAACACATCAAAACACACGACACTTCAATTACACACAGAGTCCAGCGCTGATCCCGGAGGATCAGCAATAGAGGAAACACATCTATCTCTGCACGTCACGAAGCTCTCGGTTATCAAAGCAATTTCACTGCAGCTCATGTTCACCATCACAGAAACACACACATCAGCAACTGTGCAAATCTGAATCTATGATGCTAAGACTGTTATATGTTCCATTATTTAAACCCCCGAACACCAAAATTAATATTGGACTTAAACTGGTACTTCTTTTGTATTGAAATATTACTGATCATATGTTGGATGCTGTGATTTCTGCAATGTAAAAATCGATATAATAAATAAGAATAAATAAAATTTATTTATTAGGAATAAATAAATATAATATTAATAATAAATAAAATAATAGTAGCATTAACAAATGATATATATATATATATATATATATATATATATATATATATATATATATATATGTATATATATATA